TGCTGTTAATGCAACAATTTTACATGCGGGATCAATAACAACATCAAGACATGTTGTGGTAAACCTCTTGCAATCTAACTCACAGTTTCAAGGAATTGCTGCTGTGTGCGTCGTAAAGTTTCGGGAAAAACTGTATAGGTGTCATATGTTGTTTTACTCTCGAACGGCCATTTTATTTTGCATGTGTCAGCCAATGAATGAATTTCTGTATAATCAATGTATAGCGTATAACCAGCAAATGTAAACAAAGCCATAGCTTAATACATTTATGGGAGATGACATCGTAAACCAAGGACCCCCTTTATTTGGAGATGACACCAAACAACATCAGAGCAGCCCGTGGAACCTGAGAAGGACGGTGAATAGAGCTAAATGATGATTTTTCTCACTCATCTATTCTCGATGAAAATTCAGCGAGTCATATTTTATGCCTGAGGAAACTCATTATTTTAACATCTTGTCACATTAGAAAAAAAAAAATCGGTTTCTTTTTCAGATAAATTTACCGAGACGGATGTGCAGACAACTGACAGTCAATCTAATTGGGAATAATTATTTGGCAGTTCCAAGTTCAGTTGTACTGTTGCATTCAACACAGAATTGGCATTGACCAATTGAAAAAGGTTCCAAGGTCCATTGTCTGTACCAATTAATTTGAATGGTATAGCATTGTTATTCCTAAACCTTACTAAATAAAATAAGAAATCTATTCTTCACCTCTCTTCCACAGTCTCCGCTGCTCTGAACAGTTGATCCTAAGTACCTAAACTCCTGCCCCTTCACCACCTCTGCTCCTTGAAACCTCACTATTTCACTGTTCTGCCTTTCATTTACACACATGTACTCTGTCTTGCTACGACTGACCTTCATTCCTCTTCTTTCTAGTGCAAACCTCCATCTCTCTAGGTTATCTTCTAGCTGCTGCCTACTCTCACTACAGATCACAATGTCATCTGCAAACAACATAGTCCACATGGACTCCTGTCTGACCTCATCTGCCAATCTGTCCATCACCAAAGCAAACAAGAAGGGGCTCAGGGCTGATCCTTGATGTAGTCCCACCTCCACCTTGAAGTCTTCTGTCCTCCCAACAGCACACCTTACTACTGTTGTACTATTCTCATACATGTCCTGCACCAAACTAACATACTTCTCTGCCACTCCTGACTTCCTCATACAAAACCACAATTCCTCCCTTGGCACTTTGTCATATGCCTTTTCTAGATCTACAAATACACAATGCAGCTCCTTCTGACCTTCCCTGTACTTCTCCATCAACATCCTCAAGGCAAATATTGCATCTGTGGTACTCTTCCTAGGCATGAAACCATACTGTTGTTCACAAATCTCCACTTCCTGCCTCAACCTAGCTTCAACTACTCTTTCCTAAATCTTCATTGT